GTGACCTTGAATCCCCTCTACAATTCAACACTATGTGCCAAATCTGGGTTATTGTTGATGATGGAAATTATTCATTTCATCTTCTCATTAGCCCTGTTAAATAGGCAGCTTTATCCCCTACATTCTCCTGATGAGAAAACTGGCATAGGCAGTTAAGTACCCAAGTCCACCTGGGCTCTCTCCTGTTCCCCACCAAGGCTCAGGAGCCAGCATAATGTTGGCATACAAGAAGCATGACTGTGTATTCCCAAACCTGCCATTCCCTCTTCCTCTCTCTTTCTCTGAAAGATATTTCTTTCCCTTTCTTTCCCTGAGAGAATTGCATGTATTTTCTTTATTTACTTCAATTTACTGAGGAGCTACCTTCTGGTCCTTCTATGGTGAATCTCTGTGATGTGGATTGTTCAAATTCCAATGACCTTGAACATCTATCCTTAGTTTATTAAAATAAAAAAAATTGAAAATCGGTGTTTGGGGAATATTCTACCAATACTGGTGGGGTATGAAGGTGTTTAGTGCTTTGTGTGACCTCACGTAATTGCAAGATGTGCTCTTTTGTGCAGAAGTCTGAATCTGAATCTACTGACATCAACAGAATTCAGTCCACTGTGATGGGGAGGGAGGGAGAGGCAGGGAAGGAGATGGAGGGAGATGAGAGGGAAAGGGAGGGGGAAGGAGAGAGAGAGACTGACCTGGAAGCACTCAGGAGGCAAGTCCCCTTTGACTCTGAGGGAGTACAACAGTTTGGTTTTGATTTTTGCTGTTATTTTGAAACACTTGCTAGCCCCCCAATATGATCAAATCTGGTGGAACCCATCTGAATGGCAAGACCCTCAATTTTCCTTCTGGAACTGATCACTCTCTGGGCACTTGTTTTGGGTCTGGCTCCCTTCTGGAGGGTGGCTCCTGGCTTCTGGAATAGGTACCGGTTTAATCTAGTAGGATCTCTTCTTGTCACACAAGAAATGTATTGCTGAGCCGGCGAACATTTTCTTGTGGCTATGCTTGCAAGCTCCTTAATGTCAGAGATGTCAGAGAGACTCTCCCTTCTTCTCAAAACTCTCCTCACAAAGTGGAGGAGGTGCTTTATCTGGTTTCTCTTTCTCCCTTACTGAAAACTCTGCACTTGTCAAGAAGGACACCTTTTCTAAAGTAGGCGGCTGGGTGCAGAGCAAACTGGTCAGGAGCCAAATGGACAGAATCCAATTCTTAGCCTGGCCACGCCTGCTTATTAGGTAAGTGGTTTTCTGGCAAATGATTTTTCTTCTCTGTGCCATAGTTTCCTCCATGGTGAGGCGTATTCACACGGAGCTCTTATCAGAATGAAATGGGATCAGGAGTATCAGGCGCTGGGCATGTATAAAGTTCCAGTAAGGGTGGCTACTTTAAAACCATGTGACTAGTAACACAATTTCATCTTTTTAAAATAGTATTTCCCCCTTCCCTCTGCTTTGTTGTAGCTGGCAATGGCACTTGCACTACACGGCTGTGGTGCTCCCCTGGACTCACGCATTTCTGCTGTGACATTTGTCAGGGCTCGCACGCACTGGTCACCGAGTACCGAGATCATCGTCTGTGTTGGAGCCCCAGGGGTTCCCACTGATGGTGCTGCCAGGATCACTCGTGGCGTGCAGAGCTGGGCTGGGATCAGCACTCAGGACCTCACACCTGCTGACAGCTGCTCTTTCCCTGGCTCACTAGACTCCCTGACTCACGAGACTCCTGTATCCCCAGACAAATGCGTAGGCTCACGTAGGTACCAGTTAGAGCACTTGGGTGTGTGTAGGTGCCAGGTGGAGCTGTGAATGCACAGGGGTGCTGAGTGGAGCATGGAGTCCATGCAAGTCTGTGGGGAACACTAGGATTCCCACCCAGATTCCCAAGCATCCAGACTTATTCATTTTGGGGCCTCGAATAATGAATGAACAATTTGCTAGAACCTCTTGGACCAGGTCTTTGAGGGCATGTTCCTTAGCACACGGTGTCTCTTTAGGATTTAGACGCTGTCAGCCCATGAGAGAAATACAACCTGCAGTTGTGACTAACTTGGCAAGCAGAGTGTTAAAAAAACAAGGGAGCAAGGATTACTCACTCGTTAGCAGCATGTGTGCGTGGTCCACACACCTTATCGCTTCCCACCGGTCTCTGCTCCTCCCAGTTCTCTCTTTGTTGTTGCCTGCCCAGCCCCACAGGCAACTGTTTTTGCTACATCTGCTTGGTGTTTTCTAATAAAGATTTTTGACCAACTAGGTTGGAATAACTGCGTACTATAACTGCCAGGAGGAATGTCATATGCATCTTGGCATATTAAAATTCTGAAATGTTCAGCAATAAAAAAAAAAGACTCACTGGTTTATCTTTGCTCAAAGCAAAGTTTCAAAAAAAATCTGATTTCAAAACCTTGTGCCCCAAAGGATGCATGCCTAGCACCATCACAGGGGTCTCCCAGGAGAACACAGTTAGGAACCCTGACATAGGAGCCCTGTTATCTCTTGTCATCTACATTTGAAAGAATTAAGAATAAATCTCTAGACACAAAAATTCAATATCTATAAAGAAACAGCCTGGCAATTCTGGCATCCTGCAAATTAAAACCCTTCAATGTAATGAAAGATACGATAAGCAAAGCTAAAAGACAAGCAAGAAACAAGGCAAACCAGAGGAAATTCTTATGAAATATGTTGCTTGCAAAAGAGTTAATATCAGTGATGCATAAAGAATCCTGTAATTCAATGACAGAGGAAATCGCCCCAAAGCAAAATGGGGAAGAGCTCTGAGCAAGCCGTTGAGTAAATACAGATGTTCAGAAAGCATTGGGAAGATGTCCATCTGCACTAGAAACCAAACAGCACAAATGATGGCTGCAAACTGCATACCAGGTTGACAAAAATTTTAAAAAATACTAGATGATAGTATTATCAAAGTTGTGGCGAAGACTCGGTAAGAGGACATTGGTTACGACCATGTTTTTAATAAGATAATATCTCTTAGGTTATAGAATTATCTCTTAAATGTATACGTATACATATTTGGGGGCTGGAGAGATAGCACAGCGGGTAGGGCATTTGCCTTGCATGCGGCCGACCCGGGTTCGATTCCTAGCATCTCATATGGTCCCCTGAGCACCGCCAGGAGTAACCCCTGAGCATCGCCAGGTGTGACCCAAAAAGAAAAAAAAATGTATACGTATATATTTTTATACAACAATTCCTCTTTGAACAGTTTTTCCTCCAGGTGTTCTTAGACATATATGTATATGAACTGTTTTCATACCACTTATTTATAATAAAGCTTGCATGGAGACTCTCAGCAGGGAAGGGATTCAAGAAGCCATGAGGTGCCCATATTGGCACAGCCAAGTAGTGGTTAGCAGTGAAGAGTGTGTTCTGTGAAATGACATTTGATGAACAAAGTGGTAGATGGTCAGCTACAAAAAAGCAGAATGCAGATCAGTGTAAATTACTCACAATTGTGCACATGTGCCAGGACACGCAGTTTCCTGCATTTAGGGCAGTCCGGATGGAAACTCTCACCCGTGTTGGCAGTGGTTCTTCTGGGGAGCAGGGATTGGGTGTAGATGGAGATGTGTCACCTCAGGAACAGTTTTTACACCCATGCTATTGGGAGAATTTCTCTTTTGCATCACACATGTATTACTGACTTTTCAAAATCATAAATATCAAGACCAAAATGGGTGAAGGCACAGAGACCGTTGCTCTTTGAGTCACATGAGCACGTAGCTGAAAGGTCACAGGGAGCATCTGAAAGCAGGCTGCCCGAATTTGAATCCTGCTTCTCTCACTTGTTCACTTGGTGCTTTGGGCTCGTTAGTGAGTCCTGATCTGTCAGAGACCTTTCTCTATGAAATTAGCACTTCCCTGGTAGTACTGAAGTAAGATTTAATAGGACAATTTATGAATGGGTATTCAGAATGGTGTCTGTCCCACTGAAAGTTTTCAGAACTTTCCTCTATCCACAGAAACACTTACTTATATTAATTAAGAGGTTCAATTGTGTATTTATAGGACTGTACTTTCTTTAAGAAAGGAAAGTTTCATTTTGGACTATTAAAGAGTGATGCTTGTTGGCTATAGAACTCCTGGCATATGCACAAAATATAAAGGAAAAAAATCCTTCCACTAGATTTCCAAACATTTTCGAGCCACTTAACTTGCCTACTTTGGAAATTGTAGTCTATCCTGCTGCTTTCAGATGGTGCTATTATGGAGGAACTGAGTGTTGCTTTGGGGGTGGATTGGGCCTCATCTGGCAGTGCTTAGGACCAACTCCCAGTGGGGGGGCTTGGGGGTTGTATCTGGCAGCACTCTGGGGTTGGTCCCCATGTTCTTGTGTGCGCAGCATGCACTCCAGTCCTTTAGGCCATTTCCCTGCTCCCAGGTTGATTTTTCATACATCTCTGGTGCAGCAGTTGCACGAAGGAAAGAAAGAATTCCCCCATCGTGTTCCCAGCGTTCCTGATCCAGCTAGTGGACCAAAATGTGCCCACTACGGTCCACGAATTGGCTAGAGAAAATGTAAATAGCTCAACTCAAATGTTCATTGCCGTCAGCGAAACAATTCAGATATGACATCTCCCAGTAATGCTAGAAGTCGCCCTCTCTTAAACACCTGAAACCTCCTAGATCCCTCACGTATTATTTTTAATCTTCGCAGACCTGCAAAATAGGTCTTACCTATTGCACAAAGAAATTGGTGTATCTGAGGTTAAGTGATTTGCACAAAGCGGCCTGATTCTAAGAAACAGGACCTGGATTTGACAGCAGGTGTATAACTTCAAAGTCTATGACCTTTCTATACGTTGCCGCCTCCTTGAAGAGAGAAATTGCGACTTCACTTTCGTGTGCAGAGAAGTACAAGCCAATGTTCCCATCTCCATACAGCCTTGAATCACTGTAGCAGTGCCCAGGAGGCAGGGTCATTCTTTCTTGCCAAGTTGTTGGATGTGAGCATCATTCATGTTTATTTCTCTTTCCACCTAGGTGGCAGCTTTGAAATACATCCCATCTGTCCTCCATGATGTGGAAACCGTCTTTGATGCAAAGTTACTCAGGTGAGAGCTTATGATGTACTTTTATGGGCTTTGTTGGCAGGCAGGGGGCTCAGGGGGAGAGGAGGGCTCTTGCCGGGAGTTCCAGAAGGGCCCTCAGTGGGGGACAGGAAGGACACATGGTTACATTTTGGTTCAGTTATGCCAGACTTTGGTGAAAAACAACTAGGAAAGGAGCATTCTTCTTAGATGTTATAAATGATAAGGCATAGGTTAGCATGTAGGTAAAAAAGACCTGGTGTTTGGTGTAAAAGCCACCTTATCACCTGTACTAGAAGGTTATCTGGGGCATCTAGTACATTATACATTATGTAATGTATTATAGTGCAAATGGTTCTTCCTTTTCTTGAGTTCACTGAGGTTCTGAGAGGACATGTAAAGACTTTTAAAAGTTCGGTTTAAAATGCTTTTAGATTTGGGAAAGTGTTGCAAATGTAGGATAAAGTAAGTTCCCATGTGCCCTTCCTCAGTCTCCACAAACATTAACTGGGAAGTCAACATCGGCACCATTCTTTTCCATTTATATTTGAGTCTCATCCATTTACTCACTCATGCCCTCTTTCAATGACATCTATGAAAGATTTCTGCTGATTCCTGTCTTTCAGGTCTCAAACTAATGATCTCAGAAAAGCTACGTGTTAATATTGTAAATTAATTGAGTTCCTCTCCCAACTCTCACACCATTACCCATAGACACAACTCCCTTCAATAACTCCTTCAACAACTCCTTTATCCTTCAGTACATATATTGTCCTGTATCAGTTAGTTTTATTTCATGTTACTTGCCCACCTCTATTTAAAAGTAATTCCTGTATCATGTGACTCAGTCTCTTTCCTTGGACCCCGCTCCGCTCCACTCTGCATTGCCTGTCACATATTAAGTAGATGCTCAGTGAGCACTTGAAAGAATGAATGAACACAACGAGCTTGTTTGGAAATACTGACAGTGGCTATCATTTTATATCAGAGATATTTTAATTTTCATTCTATTTGGGAAGAGCTGTCTCCTTTTTTATATATCAGACCTATTCTAACTGATACATTGCTTTTTAAAATTAAGAACAGCTTTTTCTTTTCAAAAATTTTTACTTTATTAAATTTTTTAAATTGAATCACCATGAGATAGTGTATTACAAAGCTGTTCATGATTGGGTTTAAGTCATACAGTGTTCCAACACCCATCCCTTCCATCAGTGTATATTCCCAGCACCATTGTCCCCAGTTTCCCTTCTACAACCCTCTAACTCCCCCATTCCAGCTAGAGAGAGAGAGCAGCTTTTGATCTTAAGACTTATCAAAAAAGCACTTTGAGGGCCAGTGTTACATCCAATACCACATCTAGGTCTCCTAGGTACTGCCAGTAGTGATTCCTGAGTTCAGAGCCCTAAGTAAGCCCTGAGCACTGCTAGATGTGGCCCAAAAAAACAACAAAAAAAAACAACTCACAAAAAACAAAAAAGGCATTTTTAAGTCTAAAACCATAGTAAATAAATTGAAATGTATATTTTACTGACACCACATGTGCACCTCCCACCCAGCCCCAACAGCAATGATCCCTGAGCATAGCTGCATTATGTCCCCCCAAACCAAAAATAAAATAAAGTGCAGACTTATTTTGAAAGCCTGGGCCTGCTTTTAAACATTTGTTTTTTATTACTCCCTATCTGTGTAATCTTGGGAGGATGGGTTAGCCTTTTTAAACCTTAGCTTCCCTGCTTAGAAAATCGGGACAAGTGCTAGATAGACCTCAAAGAGTGTGAGATTTCAATGGCATAATGGATGTAGAGTGCAGAAAACTGCCTCGTACAGTAAGTGCTCAGAGCTCTGGTATTATCTGCCAGTTGTCACTTCTCTTTGAACACGATCAGTGTTCAATCCCAATGCCAGCTACATATATTCCCTGAAGGTGGCCCCGACCCCTGACACCAGGAATTGGGGACCACGGGGAGCAAGATGTCCAGCCCTGCTGCCTCCACGGAGAGAGCTGGCAGTGCTAGAACCGGCAGTGAGTGCTAGGAAGGGGGAGACGCGGGTCTAACTGACTCTCTGTTCCGCATTTGTTCTTTCTGCTACCAGTCAGCTGCTGTATGAGTTCTACACCTGCATCCCCCCAGTGAAACTCCAGAAACAGAAAGTGCAGTCCATGAACGAGATAGTCCAGAGCAACCTCTTTAAAAAGCAAGGTGAGTGCAAGGGCGTCTGGCGGGGCAGGTGGTGCCGTCACCCTACCTCCAACCCAGCTCCTCCCGGGCTCGTGTCTTCCGGGTGCTCAGTGGGACGGAGCACTCTTCCTGACTCCTGAACTTCTCCAACAATTCCCTTGGTCCGAATATGTGGAAAGTAGAAGAGCTGACAACTTAGATAGCAAACTCTAAACTGATTTTTAAGAAAGCTTAGGTTGCATTGTGTGTTTCTCCTGAGAATGTATAATGAAGAGGTAAATTTGGATCACAATGCTGTGAAATTCCCCCACAAGCCCCACTCTACACCCCTACGTGCTTTTTACTTGATGTCCTTCACTCAGAGGAAGTAGGTGAGGTTCCTTTCTGCTACAAATAACCCATTTTGAAGAAGTTCTCACATTTTCAATAATTTAAGAATAATCTGGAAAAGTTGTTAAAATGAGGATTTTTGCAATCTATCTCAGAATCCTGATTGAGTAGAAATAAGCTTTTTTTTTTAAAATGTTCTTAAACACGTAAATTATTTTTGCAAAGGTATTTCATTTGCATGGATCAAAATGCGAAGTAGTAAATGATTATACATAGTTTCCTGTGACTGCTTCCAGAGACATTCCATGTACAGACAATGAAATACACATATGCATGCTTTCTCTCCTTATCTATTAGTATTACTTAGAGGCATATACAGCTGCCCCGTTCTTTGCCTTTCTTCACTTAATTGCATTTTCTGAAGAACAGAGGATAGTAGTGGATTCATGCAGAAGTTGTGATCAGAGCTTTTCCAGACTCAAAACTGGTCTCTGGTGCCCTACTGACAAAATTCTTGGATTCCCTGCCTCCGAGGTGGGTGAGCTAGTTAGTCATGCCTCCTCCGGATCTAACCAGTCAGGACTTAGCCATCAGCACCCAGTCCATCTCACCTCCACAACTCTGGCATCACTCCTAACTTTGAAGGTAAAACCAATGAACTTTGGGAATCAGTACAGACTTCTGTACCCTAAGACCAAACCTTTCCAGTTCTAAGTTTCTCTCTGTCCATACTGGTGCCAGTAATAACATGGGAAGGGAACTGCTGAGAACAGGTCTTAGAAAGCAGAGCCTTCGCCCTGCTGTAAATTATTCAGAGAGTAGAGCTTGAATATTTATGCAAATTGCCTGGTAATCACAGAAATATTCAGGAACTACTTCACTGTAAAGGTTTTTTTTTTTTTTCCCTCCCATGCCTGGTTCACATGGTGCATCCAAAATTTCTGCCTGGGTTGTATCCCTTGGAGGAGAAAGGTATGAGGAGGAAAATGTTAATGTTTGTGGTTTCTGGACCGTTTCAACAGGTGAGTGACAGCAGGCTAATGCCGGGCACATGTGCTTTGTGCGCGGTGCATGGTGCAAGTTCACAGGAAGCTAATCCTGCCGAGTCTTGTTGCATTTCTTATCATTCTGGGTCTTCCTTAAAGGGAAGCGTCCACGTTCTGACTTCTGCAGATTTCAGACTGAGCGGCCTTCACTTTGGCTTCGGGTTATACCTGCTGCCCCTTCCCGCCCTGGCAGTCCCGTCTGGGAGCTTAGGTGTCACTGTAGAGATGAGTTGACTTCTGTGCGAGGGACGTGACAAGGACAACTGTAGCTACACAGAGTCCCACAGGGCGTCACAGAGCAGGGCTGCTTGGCTCCTCTCTGCCGCTGCCGTTGCCAGGGGCCGAGCCCAGTGCAGAGTCCAGATGGAGTGCTCACGCCACACAGGATCGGGCAGACGGTGGCAATCTCTTTCCTTTAATGGGGTCACATCTCGGAGGCTGGGGCTGGGTGACAGTCCTTGGGTTCACCATGATCACAGGGTGGGTGGGACAGCTAGTGAGCCCTATTCCTTTCGTGTCCCCAGGCAACGGGCTTGGGAAATCCCTTTGATTCACCTGCTCTGATAAAAGCCTCGCCCCAGTGTCATTCACAGCCACAAAATTCCAACATTTAAATGCAGAGTAGAAAAAGGTAAACAAAGAGCCCTTTGTGGGCCCATTTTGTAGAAGATGCAGAACTGTCTGACCGTGGTTCCCACGAAACCTGTGTGCTTTATCTGCTCCCCCTGTGGGCATGCCGGGGAACCCTCTGTCCAGAATAATTCTGAGGGAAACTTCAGTTCACCCCTCTCAGTCCTCTTGTTGCAAATGGACACCGTGTGAATTCATAAGCACTTACTGGGGATCAGTGGCTCCGGGTGAGTGTCTCTCTTTGTATCCTTAAATAAGGTGAGTTTGATTCCTTTGCCAAGCCTGAACTGTAATGAAATCTCTCCTGTTGTTCTCCCTGTGAAGTGTCCTGTGCCTCAGGGATGTGATTTGCTTTGAGGCTGCCCTCATTTAACTGCCAGATGTGCAAACTGCCTGGAGTATTGTCAGGGACAGTAGCTTGTACGTACAGCCTGGAACATTTGTATTGACATCAAGCAGAGGGACCAGAAGGCTTTTAAGCACTTTCTGAAATTTTGGCAGATGATTTTATCAGCTTATTTCCGGAGGAGCCTTTGGGTAAAGCTTACTGGGTAAGAGCACTGACACTTGGAACTCAGGAGGTCTGGGTTGGATTGCTGTGTGACTGAGGTCAGTTATGTAACTTCTCTGATGTTCTCTATGCTTAGCTGTTAAATGGGAAAAATCACGTGTCTTTGGAGGGCTAATGTTATGTGGCAAATAAGGTAGACAATGCAGGTAAAGTCTTCCTGGTGTCCCGTTCAAAGGATAGCTGATACTGTTGGGGTGGTGGTGATTATTTTACTACTTTCATTTCCCCAACTTCTATCCTGGCTTTCAGAGTCCTTTCGAGAAGAGAATTCCTTCCTGTTTGATAGTTGTACGTCACCATAAGCCAAGCCTTCCTGTTTCCCTGGAAGCGTCGTGTTTTATCTCTAGGTCTGAGAAACCCAGGGATTATCTAATAAAAAGAACTTTGGTCTGTATGTGTTTTTCCTTCCGATTTTGAACTGTCTCACCAATTTCTAATTTCCATGGAGTCTCTTTGCCAGGGTGTCAAGCTATGTTCACCTAAAAGAAGCTTAGGTCAAGGTGAGATGTTAGTCCTTTCTCACCTTGCTGTCTGCCTTGCAAGTCACTCTCAACATTGTCACATAGTTTGGGACACTTGACAATCACACACACTCACGTGCGCGCGCACACACACACATTCACACACACGCACACACACTTTTTCCCCCTTTGCTCTCTCATGGAGACCTTTTTTTATTTCTTTTGAGATCCCAGTCCTTGGTGGTATTCAGGGCTACCCCAGTCTTGGTGTTCGGGAGTTGCTCCCAATGCTGGTATAGAACCCAGGCTCTCGCATGGCAGGTGTGCCCCCCAGTTCTCTGAGCCATTTCCTCTCATGAAGACAGCCTCCAGGTGCTGCAGCTTTTAGCCACTCTACAGTCTTAACTAATTCTTGCAATTCTCATTTTCCTGAAGTGGGGAGTCGGAGAGTGAGTCTGACGGGGCTGTGGTACGGCTGCAGCCGCATACCGTGGCCGGTTAGCCTAGGGTTGCGGGAGTGGGGTGACCAGCTGCCGAGTCCCCGCAGGGAGTGGCTCGCCCTGTGTGAGTAACCTCGGGGTCCAGTGAGAAGAGAACTGAGAAATCTGGGGAGACTAATTTGCTGTCTTCTCCGATCCAAGTTCAGACTTGCCTGGTGGTGATGATGGTAGCAAGGATGAATAGCTATTCCCTCCGAAAGCTCTGGGAGGAGTCTACAAGAAAAGCAAACCTTCTGCGCCTTTGGAACAGATTTGTCCCTATGAGAACCTAATTTCTAAGTAATGTGTCTTTTTAGTCTGATGCTAATCAGATGCGCCATCTGCTTCAGTGTAAACTGCTTTAGGATCTGCATTGCTCGCTTTTCCCAACTTCCAAAACAAACAGAGGGAGTGGAAGAGAGAACTAGAAACAGAGATTCAGAGATGCAGAGACAGAGAGGCGCAGAGACAAAGGACAGACAGAGAGAGGGAACAAGACAGGGAGTGAGAGAATGAGACAGAGATCTGAAAGAAATGTGAAACTCCTCCGCTAGTGGATTACTTTCAGCTAGTGGATTTTTTTTTCCTATTAGAAACTTTATTGAAAAACTGCCCTTTGAATACAAAATATCCAATTTTCCTTTTATCCAGACATCATTTTCTTCTGTCCCCTGTTATCTGTCGCCCACAGTAGGGAGAACTGCTGGGGAACTCAGTTACAAAGGCTTGGGCAAATCTGTGGGCAGGGGGCCCGGATAACTGGGCCCAGTACTAGGGGAAGTTGATCTCCTCTAATCCTCGTAGCATTGGACTGGGGATAGAGGCCTCTTGCTGGAGCTGTTATTACTTTGCTTCATGAATTTATGTAACATCTCTGAGCCTCCATGCTTCCAGGGAGCTGTGAGTAGAAGTGCTGCTGGTGGAAGCCAGTCATGGAGCTATGTGGTCGGGTGAGCAGCTCACATGCACGCGGGTCCCGAGTTCCATTCCTGGCACTGGAGGAAAAGGAATATGGGCTTTAGATTCCCACAATTCTTCTTTCTCTTCCTGGCCAGATCACTTCCTAGCTAAGTTCCTTTCAACAAATAATTTCTGGGAGCCTTGCTTTCCTTTAACCGCAAAATAGGATTACATAAAACAGCTAGCATAGAGCCTGGAGCAATTGTTGCTTATTAAAAGTCATCTATTCTGTCTATCATATAATATTAGCCATAAGAAAAATAATGCCAGAACCTCTTAAAGGGAGAGACTTGTATTTATCATTTATTAAATGCTAGCCATGTTATCAGAGGATATAAATTACATAAATAGACATGAAATTATCAGGACAAACCAGTGATTACAGAATATATTAAGGCTTTTGTGTGTCGGGCTCTGGGGGAGCAAGTCGACCCTGGCATCTCATTGGTTTTACAGTGGAAAGCTTCGTTTCTCTCTTGTGGAAGTGTGATGAAAGTTATATGCTTTGCATGTGCCCACATTCACCGCCAAGTGAGGCCTCCTT